GATAAATGGTGATCTTTATAATAGAGTTGTTGGAAGGTAGCATCAAGGATAACAAATTCATATTGAAACCTTACTGGTAAAGTCTGTTAGAATTTAAACTCAAAAATAAAATCTCTGTTAATTCTCCGTTAACCCCATTAACCATGGCTTCACACTCAACAACCAAACTTCCTCCGCGGTCACCATTTGTGAATCTTTTGACTGAAAATGGAAACACCAAGGAGGCTTCTCACTTGTGACAGCCAGCTTACCCAGACGAGTTTAATGAAGGATCTTGTAGTGACTGTCAAGTCTGCCATGTAGGAGGAGCATATATGTGCCCTGAAGGTCATTGGTCCGAAGAATTACGTATGATGTTGTAGCAGTAGCAGTAGCTGATGCCACGACGTTCTTTGTTTTACTTTTTTTTTTTTTCTTCTGTGTGGAACTGTTGCTAACATGAATACTAACATGGGTATTTTAGTCTCTTTATAGCAACTACCGTATGGTTTACCAACCCTAAAAATCGAAATCAGAATATATTGTGTAGAATACAGGTTTATAATTCATCTAACTATTGATCCACTCGTAGTAGTTTATAACCGAACCCATCGTTTGATTTTGAAGCTAATAATGGGTTACGAATGGCAATGGGCTTTAGAATTTAGATGCGTAACGCACTTGCACACTAACACTTTGGTGATATCAACATTTCAAGCGAAAGGAAACTTCCTTGTAATTATTACTTTACAAAAAAGGCACTTGGTGAAAAAGCCAATTTGAAACAAGATACAGATTTTGGGAGCAAAGACGGAATTAGAAATTTCTTCTAATGAGGGCAATCGAAAACAACTAAGAAAATCTTATTATAGTATGGTTATACGCAATATGATATTAATAATGGTTTCAAATGATGATATCACAATTCCAATGTTACAAAAATTTCAATATAGTAGTGGAAAGTGGCAAAGTAATGAGAAAAATATAAGTACATAATAGGCGGGAGAGGGTTTTTTCGATTTGAATGACAAAACAAGAGCACTATTACTCATATAGTATTTGATATGGAGTATAAGTAGAATGAATGTACGTTAGATATTAAATACATATATTTTCTTTAAAAATAACCCATGTATATCATATAATTGTAGTTTACAACTAAATAAATGAATTACTTGAATGAAGACATATGCCCTTAGTGAGCCTTGATTGACTCCGTCCATATTTGGAAGTGGCAAAATGCGTACGAGTCCGTGACTTCTAAGGACATAATTTAATCACTTTTGGCTTTTGCTTTATCCTCCCTGGAATTCTGGTTTGTGGGTCTTCCATTCCCAAACTTATCCATTGCTAGTACGAGGGGCTCCTTCCTCGAACTGAGCAATGCTCACTTAAGGTCTTCAAAATGAGGAGAATGACCTCTCTCATATGAATCCGGATTCTTGTTGGATTATCTTTATAAAAATTTCGATGATTTCTGAATCGTGTCTGTTCATCGTACATCAGGTGGTCAGAAATCATTTTAAATATTTTTATTTAAAATTAAACATAAACAATCTCTGATAAAAACTAACCGTACGATTTATGATAAACGAACACGATTTACAAATCTCGAAAATTCTCATCAAAAGGATCCGGAGAGAATCCTGTTGGATTTCATATAAACTTTTAGATTAATTTAAAGGTAGTTAGACTTATTGGCTTAAATCTTCGTTTGTGTGTCTAACAAACTTGAACTAATGAAACAGAGTGTAAAATCCCAACAATCCCAATTCCATAAAACTCAATAACTTTGCAGACTCGATTCAACCCATTCTTTTTTTTTGAAGACCTAGACAACCTAATTACACAAATTCAACAAGTTCAAATTCACGCAATCCATTTCCACAAATTCAATGAAATTCAAAACCCAATAGACCAAGAAAATATTGGGATTGCTAAGTTTTGAAAATTGCTTCACTCTTTTTAATAGGGTTGTGTAACGCCGCATGTATCTTCATGGCGCATCGTCGTCATTAAAAACAGATGAACCGAATCGATGCTTCCGTTTGGGGTGGAGGAACACAAGATGGGTTGCCACTAAATCTAATATATGAATACGAGACAACGTGGATATGAATCTAGTTACAAGCCAACAATTCGAATCGATACTTGCTTTTGTAAGGTTAAAATTCAAAAGAAAACTTGATATAAATCTAGTTACAAGCCAACAATCCAGCAGACAGCCTAAGAAACAAACAAAAAATTGGACCTGTAGATCTAAAGATTTGGGGAAAACAGAGAGATAAGAAATCATAGGCTTTGGGATTCTCCTGCGACAGGGCTTGTGGGCTCAAAGAGGGCCCACTATCAGCTATACCCACCAAGAATGCTTGAGCCATAAAGAGAATGGATTTGGGTTGAAAAACTGAAGGGGAATTTGCATGAATGGCATTTGAACTTTTTCATTTTTGTGCGATTACCATGTAAATTAGAAAAATTAACAATTTACCACTTAAACTTCAAATAGTGTGTTATAATTTTGCGTCTATGTCTACTTCCATCTGCATTTTCGTCAAATACTGGACATGACAAATACAAATACTATTTTACAAAGAAATTATCATTCATTTTTCCTCAACAAGAAGGCCGCACAAACATATGTTGTTTTGTTGGCAAGAGAGTGAATGTCGATAAAATAAATGGGTTCAAGTACTCTAGTCATGATAAATGACTACAATGCCTTCGAAAAAAGGCCTCGTGAGTTTTGGTGAATGCCTTCGAAAAACGGGCCTCGTGAATTTTGTTGGTGTCGAACCACAACACAACATAAATTTCATACGATTATTTGTACTAAGTTCAAGAGAGTTTTTGTACCATTTGAACAATTTTCCCGAATCAAAGGAACAAAACAAGAATTTACTTGGTGACGATTAGTAAGTCACGAATACAAATGTGAAAACTCTTGACCCAAGCGACCGAGAACATTAACCATTTTGACAGATACGTAAAAAGATGGTACTTGTATTGATAGGGGCACCCACAGAGGTGCGCCCCTCCAAAAATAGGCGTATGCCACTTATAGCGATGAGCACACGGTATTCTTTAGTAAAAGGCGAAAGAATAGTTCGCTTTGTGCTCAATGCATGGCTCCGTGAGTTTATCTACATTCTGCTGCTGCGTTTTATATCCCAGAGGCTAGCTGCTTCTTTTGGACTCGTCGATGTGGGAGAAACTCACCGCTTAGTTGAACGGCCAACATAGAAAAACTTATAAGCTCAACAAAACCCATACCAGCGTTTCAACTCCTAGTCTGTGATGCCCAATGGCACCAAACGAGGTTCGTGAGCAGATGACTGATGACTCGTATGATGCCATTCTTTAAATTTCTACTCTTCTGAACAATTTCCAACTTGTTTCAAGCAACTAAAGCTCCATGAGTAAACTTCCAATTCCCGAGCTAAGAACCATGAAGAACCCATATTCCCCGCCGAAACTCTTACTCCCCGATTAGACTCTGGAGTATAAGATGTTCAGCACTAAGTCAAGATTCGTGCAAATCACGGTATGTAACTAATAGGTAAATTGGTAGAATGCTCGACCAATTCCAATCCCCAACCATTTCGCCCGCCATACCCTTGGCTCCTCATAAGAACAGTGTCAGTCCCTGATGCTCACAAACTGTCGGTTCTACTATGGTGTTCATCAATTTCGGGAGTATGGACTCGATGGGAGAGTGTTGGGGCACAGGGAAGAGATGGATTGGGGTTCATAATTCAGTTCTCCAAAGCTTGTTAATCATACGGTAGCTCATTGCTTTTACGTTTTTTGTTTTTAATTCATAACATATTCGTAAAAGACACATGAATTTGCTTTAAATTTTTATTTCTATACAAGCGAAAGTGCGGAAGATTGACTTACAGACATCACCTCCATGGGTGATTTTCCCTTCCAATTATCTTAACTTTATGTGCTTTACAATCTCTCAACCTTAATTTATAACTTTACTCAGTTTTTCGTGACTTTATAACTTTGTTTTCAATTTTACGAGAGTTTAAAATTTTCCTCAACTTGTATGATTTATAACTTTATAGCCACACGTTGTTATAGTATATATCTAATTTATATGAATTTTTTTGGACTTATGTAATTTATGTGACTGATTCTTTCTAGGCATATCATCCAAGCCAATCAAAGTCAAGGGATTTTAGAGCTACCCGACACTACGCTGCTTAGGGCATCTCTACTTCGATATGCATAATATTTTCAAAATAAAAATTTTACACTTTCAGTTAACCGGTTAGTTCTCCAATAGAAAGATATCAATTCTAATCTTGACAATATATATACATATATATATATATATATATAAATGCGAATATGCATGTTTTTTTGGGAGTTTTAACTAAACACTCCCAGTACTAATCACTTTTAACGAAAAATCACATTTTTACCGTTTACTGACACTATTCACTATACCTTTAAAAAGGGTTTTTGGTTAAAAGAAAAGTTTTTTTTGAACTTTTCGGTAGTTTTTTTTTTTCCCGTCAAATAAACAGAGAAAAATGGGATCTGCAGTTTACATCTCTCCTGTTTTTTATCCTCCAGTTAGAGTACAACTTATATTTACATCTCAGAAAAATTTAAAATAGAATTTAAATGTAACTTTACATCTCTAATTTACATCTTTCAATTGCAAATGCTCTCATACATTATTATTTAGGAGTATCGAATAAAAAACTCCACTACCATTTTAAGAACACCAAAAAGAGATGATCTCATGCCACTAAACTCACAACAAAACAACATTTATTGGTCAATAAAATCGTTCAATTCACTTTTTGAACACGTAATAAGCATCCACCGTACCCCAATGACCAAGGACTTCACATTAGGCCGAAGGAGGTTCGCTGGTAAAAATTGACACATCGGACCTAAAGAGGTTTGCTGCTAAAAGTTATGAAACCAGTTGCATTAGCAGCGTCAAAGATAAGATGCATTAGCAGCTTTGATTGACTTTTACAGTGAAACAAACAAACAATGACACCCACAGAGGTGTGCCCCTCCAAAAATGTGCGTAAGCCATTTGCCATGATGTGCACATGGTATTCTTTAGTAAAAGGTGAAAGAATAGTTCGCTCTGTGCTCAACGCATGGCTCCGAAGCCATCTGATAAGCATGCTGCTTTGCTTGTATACCAAGGACACTAGCTAGAGTTTCTCTGCCCGTCGGTGTGGGACATCGAGCGTTACTCCTCCCCTTATGACTAATAGGTTCAGTCCAATCCAACATTCGACATACAAAATCTTGGATCTCTATTTGATATTGTTGTTGACTTATCAGAATCATACTCTACTTCCCAAGTTCAGCTCTTATTCTAGTACAAACAAAGCCTCAGCATAGGAGAGGGATCTTTAATTATGATGTCAATAGTCAGATTTATTTCTCCATTTTGTGTATATCAATTTAGTGCGTGTTTGATGAAAAAATGGATGCAACTACTAAATTTTACTCAAGTTAAAGGTAAAAAAATGAATTAGTCATGAAACTTGTCCATTCTAATTCTCACAAAAGAAGTAGAAGTAACAGTCATAATTTTCTTTTTATACTAATTCATCTTCTACATTTAACTCAGATAAACTTTTAATTATCCAACTAATTGTCAGGGCACTCTTAATTATCCAACTAATTATTATATGTGGTTGTTGTTGTGCCTAACTACCCTTAACCATACATCTTAATGAGGCCAACTGTATTATATTTATCAATAAGTAATATTAGAGAGACTATATCAATCTATTTGGATTATATTTCGTAAATCATATGATGTGATTGTTGATGATTAAATTATTATTTAAATGTTGATTAACGTGTTTATTTTCTCTTAGTGACACATCACATAATTATAAATGTGGTTTAAAATTTAGTCTACCGAGCATACTATTTAATAATTATTTGACTCTAGCTCTTGCATAAGCATCTATTTATAAGAGAAAGATATCGTGCAACTGATCATTGACACTGCCCAATTCTAACATCTCTCTCTCCCTCTCCCTCTCTCTCATGGAGATCTTGATGGCAACGTGTTTGCTGGCTCTTTTCCATGGTTTTTACTGCCTCTATAACTTACTTCTCAGAAGGAGAGACCAGTCATGCTATCTGCTGGCATACGAGTGCCACATGCCTCCAGACGACATGAAGCTCAGCACTGATTCATGCGTGAAAATCGTCTTGCGGAATAGGAATCTGGGACTGGATGAGTTCAGGTTTCTCTTGAAAAACTATTACCAATTCGGGTATAGGCGAGGAAACTTACTGCGCAAGAAATATCATCAAAGGCCGAGAAGAAAATGCAACCCTAGAAGATGAACATGCGGAGGTGGATGGCATCATCTTCGACACGCTGGACAAGCTTTTCACTAGGGCCACCTCAATTTCTCCGTCACAAATTGACATTCTTGTCGTCAATGTGTCGATGTTCTCCCCTGCACCCTCCCTATCGTCGCGTATAGTGAATTGTTACAAGATGAGGGGCAACATCAACAGCTTCAACCTCTCGGGAATGGGTTGCAGCGCGACCCTTATTGCCGTTGACGTTGTACAAAACTTGTTCAAGTCTCACAAGAACGCGAATGCCATCATTGTAAGCACGGAATCCTTAGCTCCTCATTGGTATTGTGGCATAGAAAAATCCATGATGCTCAAAAACTGTCTCTTCCGCTCGGGAGGGTGCGCGATGCTGTTCACGAACAACCAAGACCTAAAGCACCAAGCCAAGCTGAAATTAAACCATTTGGTACGAATCCACATTGGCTCGAACGACGACGCATATAACTGTACAGGTAGACGATGAGAGTGGACATCGAGGTTTCCGCCTTACCAAATACCTATTAAAAGCAGCAACTCAGGGTTTTACAATGACTAGTACTAAAAGCCAAAAGCCAAAAGTCAAAAGTAGCTGAGGGAGTAGGGTTGAATCTCAAGACAAGAATAGAGCACTTCTGTATTCAGCCTGGGGGAAGAGCAATCATAGATGGGATTGGGGAGAGCTTAGAGCTAAGTGATTATGATGTTGAGCCGTCAAGAACGGCGCTTCACCGGTTTGGAAACACGTCGGCGGCTGGATTTTGGTACGCTTTGGGAGACATGGAGGCAAAGAAGAGGCTGAAGAAGGGGAATAGGATTCTGATGAGTGGATTTGGAGCTGGTTTCAAGTGCAACAATATTGTGTGGGAAGTGATGAAGGACTTGGATGATGTCAATGTGTGGAAAGACTGCATAGACAGTTACCCTACGGATCAAACCCTAGTCAATCCTTTCATGGAGAAGTATGGCTGGATCAATGATGATTATCTAGGCTTTGTTAAGTTTGATTTCTCCCTATTAGCTGTTAATTGACTTTTCAGCACTTATTAAATTTGTGTTTTTTTCTCCTAATTTTTATGGTTGTTTGAAGTTTGTATGAAGCTTCTCAAGCCCTGTACTCTAGATATATCTCATAAATAAAACCAGATAAGGTGTTCCTGGATGTCGTTTATCAAATTCAGAGTTCCTTTGCTAGATGTCAGCCCATGATCCTTCGCTAGCAAACTCTCTTTTTGATATATATAGGGTTAACACATTTTGAAACACGTTTTTTGTGGAGCTCAGTCTTTAATATATTTCAACAATCCAACCAAACTATTTTCTATATCTTACCTCAAATATCATGTCAACTAAAAATACATTTTCAAATGGGCTCTAAGCTTGCAAGTCCCTTTGTCAATTCTTATATGAAATCAAGCCTTGATTGTCAACCTGATTGGAAATTAGTTGACAAGTATTACGTAGAAGACTTAAAGCCCGTTTGAAAATGCTTCTTCAGAAAGCACTTCTAAACATTAAATGTTACTATGTATGTTATCTGAATTAATATCACTATGTATGTTATCTGAAAATTTCAGGATTCAAAATGAAGGAGATTTCCTGAAAACTAGTGTATGCGTTCATTTAAGCCTGGTTTTTGATTTAATAATTCCACTCGCTAGCGAGGTTTAGGATGAAAAACAAGTTCTGGGCTCAAGGCTGTAATGTTGTGGTACAAAAAAGGCCGCAGTGCCTCAGATACATAAAGACGTTGTACTTGAATTGTTAGGGGCACCCACAGAGGTGCATCCCTTCAAAAATAGGCGTATGCCAGTTTAAGCGATGAACACACGGTATTCTTTAGTAAAAGGCGAAAGAATAGTTCGCTTTGTGCTCAACGCATGGCTCCGTGAAATTTAACTATCACATGCTGCCTTTGTTTATACTACCGCCACTACATACCTCGCGCCTCTGGTCGCGATGTGGGAATTATGCAGCACAGCGCTCAGCTCACGACTCGTGGTTTTATTTGAACGGTCAACCTACAAAAGCGTTCATACTTGTCCATGATTCCATCACATTTTTCATTTCCTCTGGTCCCCTTCAGGCTAAATCCACTTGTATCTTTTGCTTGTTTTATCTTTACCCCCATCAAAATCCTCATCTGTTTTCACATCAGCTCCACAGACTAATGAGAAACGTTGTAATCTGCCACTAAGGCATTCATTTTGAACAGTGATGATGGTTGCTCAAGTGTATTTCATTCAGTTTAAATAAACTCTGAGCTTGCTAGTTCTTTGTTCAAACTCCATACCATACCAGGTAGCAATAGGTTGTGTTTGAGTTCATCATTTATATATGCGTCATGTTTATTTGAACTCAAAGTTGATCAACATGCAAAACTCTAAGCTTGCCAGTCCCTTTTACAAACTCCATACCTTAATGGGTAGCAATGGGTCACATTTAAGTTTGTTGTTTACATCTATGTTGCGTTTGTGTCAATACATTCTTAATATATATATATAAGAAAAGCCGTCATTTAATTGATATAATAATTTAATTGGGTACACAACATGTTTTATATCCATGCAGGTTTCGAGTCATGTAATATGTCGTGTCCAAATTTATCACTTCTAACTTAAAATGAAATGAACTTATTTGCACGAAAATGGAACTAAATTTCTTCAAACTTAAAATACTCACGGATCAAACTTGAAATTTGATCCAACGGTTGCAATTATTATAACTTTTAGAGGACCTCCTATTTGTAGCGGTTTGATCATATTTCAACGGCCCAGATCCTTTGCTCAGGAGGCTCAGCCTCCTAAGCTCAGGAGGGGATCCGGTTCCGGTGGCCTCTAGGTTTAATAATACAATAACTAGTACTAAAAGCCAAAAGTAGCTGAGGGAGTAGGGTTGAATCTCAAGACAAGAATAGAGCACTTCCGTATTCGTCCTGGGGGAAAAGCAATCATAGATGGGATTGGGGAGAGTTTAGGGCTTAGTCATTATGATGTCGAGCTGTCAAGAATGGCGCTTCACCGGTTTGGAAACACGTCGGCAGCTGGATTTTGGTACGCTTTGAGATACATCGGGGCAAAGAAGAGGCTGAAGAAATAGGATTCTGATGAGCAGATTTGGAGCTCGTTTCAAGTGCAACAATATTGTGTGGGAAGTGATGAAGGACTTGGATGATGTCAATGTGTGGAAAGACTGCGTAGATAGTTACCCTACGGATCAAACCCTAGTCAATACTTCATGGAGAAGTATGGCTGGATCAATGATGATTATCTAGGCTTTGTTAAGTTTGATTTTTCCCTATTAGCTGTTAATTGACTTTTCAGCACTTACTAAGTTTGCGTTTTTTCTCCTAATTTTTATGGTTGTTTGAAGTTTGTATGAAGTTTCTCAAACCCTGTACTATGGATATATCTCATAAATAAAACCAGATCAGGTGTTCCTGGATTTCTTTGATCAAAATCAGAGTTCCTTTGCTAGATGTCAGCCCATGATCCTTTGCTAGCAAACTCTCTTATTGATATATATATAATGGATTAGGATATATAGGGTTAGGATCGGGAACATAGATTTTGACACACGTTTTTGTGTAGCTCAGTCCTTAATATATTTCAACGATCCAACCAAACTATTTTCTATATCTTACCTCAAAGATCATGTCTACTAAAAATACATTTTCAAACGGGCACTAAGCTTGCAAGTCCCTTTGTCAATTCTTATATGAAATCAAGCCTTGATTGCCAACCTTAGTGGGAATTAGTTGACAAGTATTACATAGAAGACTTAAAGCCCGTTTGAAAATGCTTCTTCAGAAAACACTTTTAAAAATGCTTTTAATTATTTTAAAAGCACTTCTAAACATTAATGTGTCACTATATTATCTGAAAATTGAAATTTTCAAGGGATTCAAAATGAAGGAGATTTCCTGAAAACTAGTGTATGCGTTCATTTTAAACCTGGTATTTGATTTGATAATTCCACTCGGCTCAAGGCTGTTAGGTTGTGGGACGAAAAGGGCCCGCAGTGAGTCAGATATATAAAGACATGGTACTTGATTTGTTAGGGGCACCCACAAAAGGAAGCCCCTTCAAAAATTAAGCGTATGCCATTTAAAGCGACGAACACACGGTATTCTTTAGTAAAAGGCGAAAGAATAGTTCGCTTTGTGCTCAACGCATGGCTCCGTGAATTATAACAATCACATGCTGCCTTTGTTTATGCTACCGCTACTACAATACCTCGCTCCTCTGTCGATGTGGGAATTATGCAGCACAGCGCTCAGCTCACGACTCGTGGTTTTATTTGAACGGTCAACCTACAAAAGCATTCGTACGTGTCCATGATTCCATCACATTTTTCATTTCCTCTGGTCCCCTTCAGGTTAAATCCACTTGTACCTTTTGCTTGTTTTATCTTTATCCCCATCAAAATCCTCATCTGTTTTCACATCAGCTCCCCAGACTAATGAGAAACGTTGTAATCTGCCACTAAGGCATTCATTTTGAACAGTGATGATGGTTGCTCAAGTGTATTTCATTCAGTTTGAATAAACTCTGAGCTTGCTAGTTCTTTGTTCAAACTCCATACCATACCAGGTAGCAATAGGTTGTGTTTGAGTTCATCATTTATATATGCGTCATGTTTGAACTCAAAGTTGATCAACATGCAAAACTCTAAGCTTGCCAGTCCCTTTTACAAACTCTATACCTTAATGGGTAGCATGGGTCACGTTAAAGTTTGCCGTTTACATCCATGTTGTGTTTGTGTCAATACATTCTTAAAAAATATATAAAAAAAGCCGTCATTTATTGATGTAATAATTTAATTGTGTACACAACCTGTTTTAAATTCATGCAGAGAGTTGTGTAACGTGTCGTGTCCAAATTTATCACCTCTAACTTAAAAATGAAATGAACTTATTTGCACGAAAGTGGAACTGAATTTCTTCAATCTTATGAAATTACCCACATGTAGTCTATATATAGAGCTGATTTTCCACAAAAATGAAACTGAATTTCTTCAAAATTAAAATACTCATAGATCTACACATATATGGCAACATTGCACGAAAATGGAAGGCCAACTCAGCAAAAAGTGCCACGTAGCCAAAATTTCAAATACGTGAACTTTATTGTTCACTCAGTTGTGATTGATGAATTTTTATGATACATAATTTGATATGTTTTTATAAAAAAATATTTTTTAAATGTTTAACAGTGATTACAAAATTGAGCAATTATGATTGCTACATGTGTACAATGAAAAATCGTTTGACAACTTAGCCAACAAGGAGGTGCACTTAAGTATCGTTCTAAGATAAATTTCTCATGCTTTTCAAACTTAATAGACTTGTAGCAGTTCAAATTCATTTCAGAATTTATTAGGCAAGTCAAAAATACCAAAGATCTAACTGTACGAATATGTAGATCAAAATTCAGTCATAAAATTAAACATATATCTATTTGTGTTGTGATTTGCCGCTTCAATTAGAGAAAGTCCACCCCTAAAAATGTGCTGGCACCCAGTCCATTTAATCCACTCAAATGCATAGTAATTGACCCCAATGAATAGTAATTGGCCAAATGCACCTCCATCTCTAAAAAACGCGTTGGCACCTAGCCTAGTCAATTTGTATTAAAATATTATTAATTTTTTTATAAATAATAAAAAAATAATTTTATTTATAATTTCGGATAAGATTTTTAACCAATCTTGTCACGCCACGTGTCATTATCCGAAAGTACTATTTTTGTGGATAGATTTCCGATAAGATTTTGTGTGACGACCCGTCCCAATTTTAATTATAATTTTCTCCTCGAGTATGTGAGATGACGATAATGCCCTCGTGGTTTAGTGACGTGGATGTACATATTCATATTTAAATTGATTGACTTGCTGATGTAATTAAATTGTACTAGACGTCACGAGCGTGTTGACGCGAATTAGGGTCGAATCGGTTTTCTAACAGAAAAGTTACGACAATTAAAGAACGAGAATGGATGGAAATATTTTAGGGTGGATTATATCTATTCTTATCCACCAATCACCTTAATTCCTACTTTATTGGGCCCAATCAGATTTTGGGTTTGATTTCATTTTTCTATGGGCCACTTAACATAACTCTCTCTCTCTCTTCCTCACGGCAGCCCAATCAGAGCTTGTGGTCATCTTCTTCTGACCAATCCCGTGCACACAAACACAAACACCCACACGCGTACGCATCCTTCTTCTCTCCCTCACCTTCTCGACCTTTCCTCATATGTACACTGTAGCACCCATACACGCAATCATCACAAAAACGTCACAGATCGAGCTTTTGGAAATCACCATCACACTCATCTCAAGCTCTCGAACCTAACCATACCCATAGGTTTTAGTTTTGGTGAGATTTAGGAATTGTTTCATGAACTCCGGCACGGTGGGAATTTGAGACTTATGAATCGCGGGCGATTCACAAGGTTTTAAGGCTCTAGGAAGCTCTTATTCAACTTCTTAAAGACCCTAGACTAGCTTTGGGACAAAGTTGACGTCGGGATGTGTGGTTTCGAGAAGTTGCAGGGGTGGCCAGATTTTCCAAGGATTTTTCCGACCATTTTTCGTAGGATTTTGGACCTCCAATAGGTACGATTATGTTCTATTCTTCAAGACCTTCAAATCCATATAAATTTCATGGATTTTTGTTGAGAATTGAAGAAGATATTGAACTGTGAAATTTTTCTAGTTTCCGACGAAACAGACGGCAGCTGGCTGCTGCTCCGGCGAAGCCAACAGAGAAGGAAGAGAATATTCCATCAACTTTGATGAAATATACTAATGACGTCAGTTAACTCCGTTATTTTTTAAACAAAATATTCTGTTATTTAACGGAATATTCCCTAACACCGTTAGGGATTTCGTCAGTGTGCCAGACACATGCCTGCGCATGGTTGGAGCATGAGGGCGCGTGTGACGTCCAAAAATTATTCTAAAAATATGGGGGTGTTCGTGTTGTTGAGTAGATCACGTTGGTATATTCAAACACCCCATTTGAGTAAAGTATGAGAATTTATTCCTAAGGTTTGTGTATGTGCTTTAAAATTAATGTAAAATTAGTTATTTCGCATATAGGTGAGACATACCTTGAGGACGAGCGTGGACAAGTGAGGCTATGTGGCTACGATTCTGCTACATATCAGTGAGTGTGCATTTTCTTTCTATATATATAATATGGTTTCCAGAATATTTTCTTAAATGATTTATGCTTTGAATGTCATGTCGTAATGAGTTGCACTTTGAGTATTGCACTGTTATACTTGTGAATTATATTGTGTGATGTTGTGGAGACTCGGGTAAGCTTCAGTTAAGTATGATGTGATTGAATGGGTTGTGTTGCATTGGTATGCATATATTTATTTAGAGCTCATTAGGGCTGCATCCGGTATTAGTGCTCATGCCCGGGGATTAGGGCACAACCTTCACGTGATCGTTCACATCTTGCACCGCACGTTCACCTTGGATCCAAGTTTGGTGCCAGCTTGTCGTACAGACCACAATAGGTGGTTCCGACTCGTAAGTGACCTGTGATTTATCGCACAGCCTTCACGTGATCGTAGCACTTGAGCGTACATATTTATATCTAGTCTGTCGTACAAGTCACATCAGGTGAATCTGACTCGTGTGCTAGCCTAGGTTGATGAGCTATAGTCCAGTCGTACAGGTCACATTAGGTGACTCTGACTGGCATGTTATTTTACATTGATTCTACACCTGGCTTACATGATATATACGTTAGGACATGGCATATTTTGGGTTTCACTGCCCTTGTGCGTTGATTATATATATATGTAGTACTATTTTCTGAAAACTATACGAGTTTTACAGTGAGGGGTTATTATGTTCAGAAAAGATAAATGTGTTTTCAAGCGTTTGTTTTTGCCCACTCACCCCTCTGTTTTGCGCCCCTCCAGGTTCTAGGTAGCTGATCATCTTTGGTGGCTCACGAGGACTTCACGGTGGTTCTGACATATCCATAAATAAGTAGGGATCTTTTCCCTGTTTGTATAATTAGCACTTAGTTGGTTTGACTACATTGTTGGATTGCCTATGCTATGAATACTTGTATTTGGTACTTGATAACTTTCACACACTTATTTATTATCACTAGTTAAATTAGCTTAGGTGATTTTTTATTTATTCACATTTACCTATTACTATCATCACTTCTGTTGTGCACTTAGCTACGTCACCCTCATATGACAGCCAGCACGTCTTGACTTCGATCGGGGTGTGTCATTTTGAACCAATCCCGACACACCATGTGTCACTATCTATTTACAACCATTTAGAATATATTTCGATAAGATTTTTAACCAATCATGTTGTGCCACGTGGCATTATCCACAACCTCATCCTTTCTTTCTTTGTCCATATAAACCCTAAATCCATCCTAATTCATACACCAAACTCAAACTAGCTCAGAATCCTTCTGCATAATTTGTAAATCTTAAAATTTTACAATGTCTTCTTCAAGGAGATTGTATGAAATCGATGAGCAACAGAAAAAATTGTTGGCATAACAAGAATAATTGTTCAATCTCGAGGATGGTGGAGATGAAGCGTTCTTCATGGAAGAGGATGAGGATGAGGATGATGAACATAGAAGGCAGATAGCCTCACATTCCAGTCGTGTCATGGAAGCTGTGGGTTAGATCTCTAAACCCAGACGTACCGCAAACTTGGATAGAAAGAAGGAAAGAAGAGGTAAAGATCTCTTGGAAGATTATTTCATCCCCAATAGTTTATTCCCTGATCATATTTTTAGACGTTGTTTTAGAATGCAACGAAGTTTGTTCAACAAAATCATGATTTCTATTTGCAACCATGATCCATACTTTGTGCAAAAAAAAAAAAAAAAATGCTTTTCATGTTCAAGGTCTTCTTTCTGAGCAAAAAATTAATGCTGCCTTGCGAATGCTTGCATATGGTGCATCTGCAGATCAAGTGGATGAGATAGCGAGGATGAGAAAATCCACTGTTCTAAAGTCCCATATGAGGTTTTGCTCCACAATCGAAGCCCTCTACAGCAATGACTACCTCCAGAAATCCACGACAATGGACCTGCGAAGGCTTTTGAAGAAGGGTGAGAGGTGAGGCTTTCCTGACATGATTGGAAGCATCACCTGTATGAACTGGACCTGGAAAAA